GTTAAGTACCTTGGGCTCACTCTGGACAGGCGGCTTACCTGGAAGCAGCACATTGTGGCAACCTGCGCTTCAGTAAGGCAAAAAGCGGGGAAAATGAGATGGCTTCTTCGTCCGGGCAGTGGACTATCGATCACGGCGAAAACCCGGCTCTTCAAAGCAACCTTGATGCCTAGTTTACATTGGGGTATACACTTCTGGGGCACTGCCTGTAACACTTCTATAAAAAGAGTTGAATCCTGCCAATCCAAAATTTTAAGACATATGATAAACGCCCCATATTATACAAGAAAATTAAAGAATACGATATATCGACATTTGTTTCCACTTCTTCCGCCCATGCGAATTCTTGTGGTCTTTAAATATTACAGATGTATGATCCACAAAAACATATTCTCTTGCTCTAAAGAATTCGCGGTTTTTGAAAAATCAATATAGAACATATTATTAGGTTTCTTGGTAATAGTCTAGAAGAGGGGCCTGTGCCCCAAAAACCGCGAAAAAATTACCCTCGATGGACCGCGATTTCTTAGGAATTTACGTGCAGAAGATTATCGGCGGAAATGCATGGTTCTCTTGTAATTGCATTTCGAAGTGGCGTGTTTTGCTATAAAAACAAAGTAGCATTTTCTAGGATTTTGAGGCGTTGTGTGACATTTTGCTATAAAAAACATATGGGTTTTCCGTTTGTTGTCAAAATAATGGGCGTTCGAACAAATTGGACAAAAATGTTAAATTGTTTTTATAGCAGGACCCCACAACAGCGAATTAAATATCCTCGGTGGGCAGTGATTCCTTAAGAACTGGAGTGACCATGGATGACCAAGACATACATAACCTTTAGGTGAATCTGAAGAAATCGCGGTCCAAGGAGGATTAAATATTTTAACCTTTTTCACGGTCTCAGCCGTTATAAAACCTTTAATTTTTATATTTGCACGCATTTTATTATCCTAATCGCAATACAATTACTTAAGAAAATGTAAAGAAGTGTTATGCGCCGCAGGCAAAAAATTTTTTTTGCTTGCGGCGCATTTACTGCATTCCTTGAACCACGATTTCTACAACTTTTCTTTTATAATAAATAAGACACGCATATGTAGGTCATCCATACTCATTCGAGTTCTTTAGGAATCACTGTCCACCGAGGATAGTTAATTCTTAAGATTCATTTTGAAAATGTATATGTTGGTCATCCATGGTCGCTCAAGCTCTTAAGGAATCACAGTCCATCACAGTCCATCACAGTCCCACTTGACTTGGGTCATTTGGGTTTTGGGTATTTGGGTTTGGGTAAAAATTGACTCATTTACCCAAATACCCAAACCCAAACGACCCAAGTCAAGTGGGTTTCAAGTAGGTCGGTTGGATTTAAGGTTTGACAAACAAATCAGGTTACTTGTGCAGAGCTCTAATATTTACACCCGTTAGTCGTAGAGTAAAAGGGTATTTTGTATTCGTGCAAAAGTATGTAACAGGAAGAAGAAAGCGTTTCCGACCCTGTAAAGTATAAATGTTCTTGATCAGGATCACCAGCCGAGTCGATCTAGCCATGTCTGTATGTCCGTCTGTCCGACACATATTCTTGGGCTTCCTACGCAGCGCAAGTTTATTTCAGCCGAGCGCCACGACCCCTCTAACGCCCACAATCGCCCACTAAAGATTTTGAAATGTGTCTGGCGGCCACACCTTTAAAATTTCCGAGAAGTATAAATGCAATTTTGTTGTGTGTATTTAGACTTATCGAAATGTAGAAGACATTTTTCAAATCGGACCATTCATTAAAAAGTTATGCGCAATCGAAATTTGATATATCCATCTCCTTCGCACTCCCTTTAGCTGAGTGACGGGTATTAGATAGTCGGGACATTCACCCGACTATAGCGTTCTCTCTTGTTTTGACTTCATGTTTATATATTTAGGGCCGTTTTCTCGTCCGTCCTGCAAAGTAAAATTTAGCTAATGGAAGGAAAAATTTATTTCGGTTGCAAATCGGTTTTCGTTTTTCGTCCATCATTTAAAACTCCAAATAAAAGGCGCACTAATTTGAGACTAGGTGGCAGCCCCATAACAGAAGAGTTAACTAACTGTCAAAAATTAATCGAAAAACTATCGAAAAATACCATAAAGCTGTCATACTAACAGCTAATGATATAAACAAAATTTTAAAAGTTTCGCGGTAAAAATTAAACCTATGAACTGGAGAGCGTGCAATCTATGGCTCCAATGACTTTCGGAACTTGGCCATTGAAGATCTTCAATACGCAGGTACTTCATAAATTGTTTTGAAAAAGACGTTATAGCAAAAGAAACTTCCTAAACAATCGCCAACAGTTATAAGAAAACTGCCACTTGCGTAGAATCTAAGAGTTAGTAGAAAATTAACCCATGACTATATTGTCGTTTCCCTGCAATAATGGTTTTTGACTATATGGAATTAGTAAAATCAAATGAATGCACTTCCTTCTTTACTTTAGATTCAAAACGGTGCCACGCCTCCTCTAACGCCCACAATCGCTTATATACGATTTTAGAAATTTCAATATTTCGGAAAACTAAAAATGCAGTTTTATTGTGTTTATCAATACCTATCGAAATGTAGAAGAAATTTTTTAAATCGGACCATTCGTTAAAAAGTTACGGCGGATCAAAGTCCCTTTAGCTGAGTAACGTGTATCTGATAGTCGGGGCACCCGACTATAGCGTTCTCTCTTGTTATACCCGTTACTCGTAGAGTAAAAGGGTATATTAGATTCGTGCAAAAGTATGTAACAGCTAGAAGGAAGCGTTTCCGACCCCATAAAGTATATATATTCTTGATCAGGGGCACTAGCCGAGTCGATCTAGCCATGTCCGTCTGTCCGACTCTCCGTCTGTCCGTCTGTATGAACGCTGAGATCTCAGAAACTACAAAAGCTAGAAGGTTGAGATTTCCCACACATATTCTTTGGCTTCCTACGCAGCGCAAGTTTATTTTAGCCGAGCGCCACGCCCCCTCCAACGCCCACAATCGCCCACTAACGATTTTAAAATGGGTCCTGCGCCCACATCTTTAAAGATTTCCGAGAAGTATAAATGCAATTTTGTTGTGTATATTTATACCTATCGAAATGTAGAAGACATTTTTCAAATCGGACCATTCATTAAAAAGTTATACGCAATCAAAATTTATATATCTATCTCCCTCGCACTCCTTTTAGCTGAGTGACGGGTATTAGATAGTCGGGACACCAACCCGATTATAGCGTTCTCTCTTGTTTTTGTATAGGTTTGACCATCCAGAATGGTGGAAAAAAGACATGACCCCGGAGAATCATTAGTGTGTACAAATTTTTAACGAGCTATATGAGAAACACACATACATGCTCAAAAAACATTTTGCCGAGTATTTAGGACGAAAAGGGTCTCGATTGAACACAGACCCGACCGAGCAAACCAAATCGCTCATCGGTTGAGCTGGGAGCAACAAGCAAGTGAGACCTTTTTTTACGAGCTTCGACTAGAACCTTTTTTGAAAATGTGAGTCAAAGGGTCCTATGACTCCACTCATGCAGGGCTCTAATAGGGAACATAAGTTATCATGTCACCCTTAATTATTTTCAACTCGCAAGGAGTTTTAGCTGAATACCACGAAGATTGAAGACCAATAAAATATTTAGTAAGAGAAACGCGTTGGGCATGACATTTCGCTTCAGAAAATAATTATTTCAAAAAATCTCGCGAGCTACTAATGTCCAATAAAGTGTCCTGAACAGAATGAAACTACATTAAGGGGTTATATACCTTTTTTGAGCGAAAAAATTGAGGGAACTTTGGATTTTTTTTTTTGGTGTGTAGCAATTATTTTATGACAGTGAAGTTATTATTTATTGATAGTACATGTTTTTATCGAAACAACAAGCCTTTGTTCTTGAAAAAATATGAATAATTTACGAAGTTATGGCAATTCTTTCGGAACCCTTTTTTTTTATAGCGGCTTGCGGTGACCACGATGGAAGTCGAGCAGGTCAACTGATATCAAAAAACCAAAAATTTTTAGTTAGTATAGTATTTTTTCCAGTTCGTGAACGATTACTTTTAAAAATATTTCCTTTTATCTGCATACAGTAACAATTTTTCCAAAAAGTTGATTTTTCAAGTTCTAAAAATTTTATTAAAAAATTCTGATCTGCGAAATTAAAATTGACGCATAAAAACTGAATCGTTCACGAACTCGGCACAATCATTACGAATAATTTTAAAAAAAATTGAAGAAGATCGATCAAATAGTTCTTGCGCAATCGTGGTCACAGCGAAGGCACTTTTGGAAAAACACGACTTTGAGATAATCGCATTCAAAGTTTTACGTTGACGTTGCAACTATTGAAGTCGAGCGCGTCAAAACGCTGTTTTCCTATCGAACTATTATTCGGATCTGTATGAAAATTTGGGAAGATGTTCTCTAGAGGATATACTTTAAGATTCAGCAAAAAAAAATTTCGTTTTTTTGAAAAAAAAAAGGTATATAACCCCTTAACATATTTGACATTGACGTAAATAGGTTCGAAATTTCTTCAACTGATACCGCTTAAAGCTCAAATTTTAATGCAGCCCTCTGGTGTTCTAAGGAACCTTCAGTAAAATCGGCGCGGAATTTAAACGAACAGTTTGGCCGCTAAGGCCACAAACTATTCTGCCCCCTTTTACTAGTTTTGCCCCCTTCTCCCCTAAGTAAATTTTACAAATTATGGTAGTTTATTCGAATCTAAAATCATTTTTGGTCACAAAAGTTAATATCAGAACTTTTGTATGTAGAATGTGCGTGCGATCGTCATTAGTTTTTTACCTCGTCAAAAAGTGTTTTTGTTTGGTTAGATGATTAGTTTGCTAACTTACTTAATTTACTTATTCACTTTGTCACCGTATATTTGTATATTTGGAGCAAACTTGATAACATATTTTTAAAATTTATCATACAATTTTGGTTGGTTTTTTTTTACGTTTTCCATTATTTATAATTTTAGAACGGTCTAAATGCACTTCACTTAGCTGCAAAGGATGGATATGTGGATATATGCTGCGAGTTGCTGAGAAGAAACATCAAAGTGGATAATGCAACCAAAAAGGGAAACACAGCTTTGCATATTGCATCTTTGGCAGGGCAGCAAGAGGTTATCAATCAGCTTATTTTATCTAATGCCAATGTGAACGTGCAGTCTCTTAATGGTTTCACACCGCTCTACATGGCAGCCCAAGAAAACCACGACAACTGTTGTCGGATCCTTCTGGCAAATGGGGCAAACCCGTCATTATCTACAGACGATGGATTTACCCCACTTGCTGTTGCAATGCAACAGGGACACGACAAAATAGTAGCTGTCTTGCTTGAAACTGATGTTCGCGGTAAAGTTCGTCTCCCAGCACTTCATATTGCTGCCAAAAAGAACGATGTAAATGCAGCCAAACTATTACTTCAGCACGATCACAATGCCGACATTGTATCCAAATCTGGTTTCACCCCTTTGCATATAGCAGCGCATTATGGAAACGTGGACATCGCCAATTTGCTTTTAGATAGCAAAGCAGATGTTAACTATGTGGCCAAACATAATATCTCCCCTCTACACGTGGCATGTAAATGGGGAAAATTATCCGTATGTAATTTGTTACTATCTCGTGGAGCAAAAATAGATGCCGCGACACGTGATGGCCTGACCCCACTTCACTGTGCGTCACGCTCTGGTCATGTTGAGGTCATTGGTAACTTGTTGAGTCAAAAAGCTCCTATACTTACAAAAACCAAGAATGGCCTGTCCGCGCTGCACATGTCTGCTCAGGGAGAGCACGATGAGGCAGCACGTTTATTATTAGACAACAAGGCTCCAGTAGACGAAGTAACCGTCGATTATTTGACAGCTCTTCATGTGGCTGCGCACTGTGGGCATGTTAAAGTAGCTAAACTGTTACTTGATTACGATGCAAATCCGAATGCCCGTGCACTGAACGGTTTTACTCCACTTCATATCGCTTGCAAGAAAAATCGTATAAAGATAGTTGAACTGCTTATTAAGCACGGAGCAAACATTGGCGCAACCACGGAATCTGGTCTGACACCTTTACATGTTGCTAGTTTTATGGGTAAGTTTAAGTACAATTAAAACAAGAAAGGAAGTTAGCTTCGGCCAGCCGAAGTTTATATACCCTTGCAGGTTTTCCTACTTAAAATGTTGTTTTTACAATGTCAAAAATTAAAACGCCTACTTTCTACAATGTTTTTTCTATTTATTTTTTCATTATTCCTTTGGGAGCCATAAGATATGGTGGTCCGATCCGGCTCGTTCCGACTTATGTACTACCTGCAATAGAAAGAAGACTTTTGGGAAAGCTTCATCGCGATAGCTTTAAAACTGAGAGACTAGTTCGCGTAGAAACGGACAGACGGACATGGCTAGATCGACTCGTCTAGTGATGCTGATCAAGAATATATTTAGGGGTGTCACAGAAACCGTCGATGGATTTGGGGACGGTTGGTTTAGAAACCAACCGACCAAAACCGTTGGTGTCACAGGAATTCGAAAGATTTCCTTTTTTCGGAAAGTTTACCGAAAAACGACCAGGGCTGGATGCATACACTAAATATGGAATATTCAATAATTATCGAATTTTATTTGACTTATTTGGAATATTTTCCAACAAGTTTTAAACTTAATTTATGTTTTTCTTGCTAAATTACAAAAAGAATATATGTTTAAAGCGCATATTGTACATAATAAAAGAAAAAATTAATAATTTGAAATACCCGCCAGGCTACATATTGCAGCCCTGAGCAGCGGTTTGCCGCGGCTGCGTTGGTTTATTTTCATTTCTAAGTTGGCAAGAATTTTAAAAGCGAACCAAAATGCCGTCTGCGAGAGGCTAGGACGCAGAGGAGATCCTTACAAACGGTTTTACATGGACTACCATGGAGATTCAACTCATTGGCCAGGTCCTTTTACAAGAATGCGGCCGCCCTGAGTAAATCCTTTGCCAATGTCGATATTATCGCGAATGAATCGGAAGAATATGGTGTCTTGCGCTGGTAACCTATGTTTACCCCTGAAAATTAGCAAAGCTTATTAGTTTAAATTAACAATAAACAAAAATGTTGTACTTTTTTACTTACATGTCTTCTTCTTCTTCTTCACAGCCAGCGTTTTACCTGGCAAAAATAGGACATTTTCACGACAGTGATGCCAACTTTTTGCAAAGGCGACCTGTTTTTATTAATTTCTCAATAACTACAACTTTTTTTACCATGAAATTTTTACCAGAAATAAGTTTCATTTTTAACTACAATACTAAGTACCTTTGAATAAATAATTCGTTAACAAAACATTTCGAATTTGGACGAATTTGGTATTTTAAAGTTCTAGCTAATTGGTGACACTGCCAGGTAGACGGTTTGCCGACAGATTTTTTTTAGCTAATTTTTTCGAGAGGTTTTGTAAAAAGCATATTTTTAAATATAAACCGAAATAGGTATAAAAATCGTAGTATGCAGGTAGTTCATAAAATTCATTAGAGTTGTCTTAAATTTTATATTTTTGGGAAACATTTGTAAGTTGGGTAATTTTATCAAAACGTCTTGCAAAATACGGGGGATTTAGAAACCGTCAAAAATGACGTCTGTGACACCGAGATTTGCTATTCGGGGGAAATTCGGTTGGAATGGATTTCTGTGACACCCCCGATATACTTTATGGGGTCGGAAACGTCTCCTTCACTGCGTTGCAAACATCTGCCTGAAATTATAATACCCTCTGCAAGGGTATAATAATTGATCTATAATTCTGGAAAAATTGTTGGGAAGGGCCATTAAAACTTAGAGCCAAACTAAATTTAGATATTATGTGCAGCTAAAAAAAACTAAAAGAAAATCCCATGGGGACCGCGATTTCTGAAGCGGAAAACGCCATTTTAGGGCCGTTTTCTCGTCCGTCCTGCAAAGTAAAATTTAGCTAATGGAAGGATAAATTTATCCCGGTGGCAAATCGGGTTTCGTTTTCTCGTCCTTCATTTAAAACTATAAATAAAAAGCGCACTAACAGAAGAGTTAACTAATTGCCCCAGAAAAAAAGTTGAAAATTTGACTTTCGCAAAATTTTCTAACTTTTCAAAGGGTGCTTAATGGTTTAAGATCTTTTTTGTGTCTTTTAAACGGAATTGAAGTGCTCTTTTTATAGGTGCCAAAAGTTTATCCGGCCTGTTCCAGTTTTCACTCGCATTAACAGTACTAAATTTCCCTTATTTGTTAGGGACATTTTATAATATTTTCCTTTGTTCCCTTTGCAAGGCAAAGAACAGTATTAAAAATCCCTGTGGGAAACATAGTGTTGCAAACTGCTAGAGCATACAGAGATGCCAAAGTCGAAAAACAAAAGCCCCTATCAAATGTCCCCGTTCCAATTTCACATGAATTAATGTGGTATTCCGAGCCAAAACACTTATATCGTTAATTACGATAAATTATCTTTCTTATAAAAGAACCATGAACCGTTTCGGATAAGTTTAGAATAAGTCCCAAACGAAATACTTACTTATATCCATACCGTGACAACTCTAGGCCATTTTTAGCAAATCCGAGCGGAGTTTAGAACAAGGGCGGCGAATTTGCATTAATTGTCAAGGCTAGAATTAACCGAATTTTAAGGTTCAACCATAATAATTATTATTAAGTCATATATGCAAATAATTTCGATTCCGATGATACAATTAGGAACATAAAACATCAAGGAATAGCATAAAAACCAGAACAAGGCCGTATATTAAATGTTCAAAATGTGAGTTAACATTCAAATCTGTCAAAATAATTATGCCGATCAGTGTAGACATAGAGGATTATAAGTTGGGACGGTCTGTAAGTTAAAACACCTTTTTTTATCAGAACTTTTGCGACTAAACAAATTTTTGTATTATTTTTTGTAGGAAAAACAGTATAAGCCAGCCTCAAGCCAGAGCCAGCTGCATGTACCATTATTCCCCAAAAAAGTTATTTTTTTTCAACTTTAAATTCTACAAAAAACTAAAAACGTGCTTAAAATAAATTGGTAAAAGCCTTAAAACGTAACTAATTAAACTCCTAATACTATTGTATTAGTTATACCCGTTACTCGAATAAACGCTAAGATCTCGGAAACTATAAAAGCAAGAAATTTAGGATTAACCATGCAGATTCTTGAGGTTCCTACGCTGCGCATCAGAAAATTGTTGGTCGATGTAAAACTTTTATGTTTATGCTTATACCTTAAAAATATCTAATAAGAATTTATTTTCATCTAACTGGTTATTGGGCATTGAAGTCAGCATCAAATGTTTTCCATACTAAACTGAAACGGGTTGCACTTTTCATCTCCTTTACATCCAAATGCGCATTTTTATGACAAAAAGTGTTAAAATTTGAGAAATCTCAAGGGCTATATAGCCATTTATTTTAAACTATTGTATTTAGCCAATTTTAACAAAGCGTGATTAATTAATTAATTACCATTTCAACACGGTATAGCACGTAGCACGCAGTCTGTAGCTTTAGTCGTTTAGAAACTATGAGCCTTCAGCTCGCCAAACTGGAGGGTTTTTGATAAAGTCGTAAAACAAACTTTGCTTATATTACAACGACCCCAAAAGCTTTAATTTTTTAAGTTTTCTCATTTACACTTTGCAATTTTAAATAGTTTAAGTCTTGGTATCTAATTCTTTTTGTTTTTGCGATTCCTTTCGATTGGTGTATCGGACCATTACATCCGATTTTTATTTAGCTTTTTATACCCTTGCAGATATTATAATTTCCGACTACATAAAGTTTATCGGCCCTGTTCTAGTTTTCACTTCCGAAAATTTCACACGGATTCGAATTTCCCAGACCTGTTCCAAGACTCACTTCCGAAAGAACTGCACGGATTCGAATTTCCCTCTGTTGTTACTCTGTTAACTTCCGAAAAATTTACACGGAAACTTTCCGCCAAGCATAAGACAGGCGGATTTAAATTCGGCAGTATAAAAATTTATTCTTTAAATATACTTCGCCAAGTCAATAATATTTTTATGCTATTCCTTGATGTTTTATGTTACTAATTGCACCATCGGAATCGAAATTATTTGCATATGGGACGTTCCATGTCAACCCGGCCACCCCACTTTTTTATTTTTTTTGTATGTGGACAGTACCACATTGATTGCAAAGCCACTTGCTTCCAATAGTTTACCTCATACCTATTTTGTCAATGTTACCACTCTTTCGCCGTATTATCGCGTTGAAAAGAAAACACAAAATCATTTTTATCCTGCGAACGGAAGAAACAATTGGCATGGTTCAAAAGCAGAAAACTCTGTCTTTCCATAGCCGATTACGAGTAAAAAAATAGATTTTATTAGACCGTAGATGACCAAGCGATAGCGTTTTTAAAGTCTAAAAGTAGGACTTCGTCCAAAGGGCCAGTCTGCAAAAATACCATTATATTTTTCTCAGAAAGCCCCATAGTTCACGCATTTTATGCCACTGGTTTCAAAGTGGGATCTCTCTTGAGGAATTAGCTATAAATTCTTTTCATTGATTTGTTAATTTTTTCCAAAGCATATACGACTATTTTGTATTACTTTCTAGTTTTTTTCTGACAGTTAACTACGCGATTATACGGCGAAAGAGAGGTAACATTGACAAAATAGGTATGAGGTAAACTATTGGAAGCAAGTGGCTTTGCAATCAATGTGGTACTGTAAATATACAAAAAAAATAAAAAAGTGGGGTGGCCGGGTTGACATGGAACGTCCCATATATGAAGTATATACTGTTGAGAATACTCTCACAAAAATTCATAACGATCGGAGAATTAGAACCAAAGTTGTAGCTATTTATAGCGCACTACCTGCACATCGGCCGTTACAAACTTGAAACTTTAAACGCGATTATCTCAGAATCTTTTTTTTCGAAATTACCTTTGCGGTGGACACGATTACTAAAAAAGTATTAATCCGATCGACACCAAATTTTGATCACTTATTAACCTTAAACGAAGGATTTTCAATTTTTTTGTAAACTTCTTTTTTTAGAGCATAAAATCCAAAATTTTATACCTTGAAAATGTACATTTTTTGTTAAAACCGTCGCCATTTTTTTTTAATCAAAATTTTTACAAATCCTTCGTTCAGGGACTAGGCAATACAATATACTAACGAAATTTTTTTTAATTGGGGATTTGAGATGAACCGTTCTTGGGATATGATGTCCACCGCAAGTCACCATCGAAAAAAGACGATATAGGAATTTGGCATCTCTGTATACAGCTGTAAATAACCCCTTAGGGCTTGTACTCAACCCAACAAAAAGTCGTCCAAAACAAAATATTCATATGAAACAAAAATTTTTGACGTTGTTTTTCATATGAGGTTTTTTGTTTTGGACGACTTTTTGTTGGGTTGAGTACTAGGCCTTAACAAAAAAAGTGTTTTGGCTCGGAATACCACATTACTTCATGTGAAATTTAAACGGGGACATTTGATAGGGACGTTGTTTTTCGACTGTGGCAGCTCTGTATGCTCTAGCAGTTTGCAACACTATGTTTCCCACACTGATTTTTAATACTATTCTGTCGGGAACCTTGTAAAACTGCAAAGGGACCAAAGGTAAATATTATAAAATGTCCCTGACAAATAAGGGAAATTTAGTACTGTTAACGGGAAATCCGATAAAGTTAACAAATTCACTTCCGAGTGAAAACTGGAACAGAACGGTATATGTTTTTGATCAGCACCAATAGACAAGTCTATCTAGCCCGTCTATCCGTTTCTATGCGAACTAGTCTCTCAGTTTTAAAGCTATCTCGATGAAACTTTCGTTTTGTGGTAGGCATTTTGATATTTGACAATTTAAAACCCAAATCTAAAATTGGGCAATAGTACATCTGATATACCTGAAACGGAACCCATCGGATCGAGCTTTTAAAACTCTTATAGAAGGCTAATTAAACGGTAAGTTTGATTTTGAACTGCAAGGGTATACAAACTTTGGCATGCCGAAGTTAACTTCCTTTCATACATCATTTTCAACAATCTTACATGAGTTGAAAGGTATTTTTGCTCCGAAGCATGCGAAATGTTAAAGAATTGATGAAAGTGTTAAGTAATAAATAAATTGAACTAATTTCAAATTTTATAGGCTGTATGAATATTGTTATATATTTACTACAACATGAGGCTTGCCCGGATATACCAACAATACGCGGGGAAACACCACTTCATTTGGCCGCTCGTGCTAATCAGGTAATATTAAAAGGAATACAATATTATATTTGTAAATATAATTGTGTTAATTTATTTTAGACGGATATTATTCGAATTTTGCTCCGCAGTGCAAAAGTGGATGCTATTGCCCGTGAAGGCCAAACGCCACTACATGTGGCTTCCCGATTAGGAAATATTAATATAATTATGTTAATACTGCAGCATGGTGCGGATATCAATGCTAAAACTAACGACATGTATTCGGCGCTGCACATTGCTGCAAAGGAAGGGCAAGAGGATGTAGTTCAAGTGTTATTGGATAATGGTGCGCAACTGAATGCTATTACCAAAAAGGGGTTTACTCCGTTGCATTTAGCTAGCAAATACGGCAAGCAGAAGATAGTAACACTACTACTAGAAAAAGGAGCTTCTGTTGATTTTCAGGGAAAAAATGATGTGACCTCATTACACGTGGCCACGCACTATGACCATCAGCCCGTGGTAGAGATACTGCTAAAAAACGGCGCTTCACCGAAGTTATGTGCGCGAAATGGACAAAGTGCCATTCACATAGCTGCCAAGAAAAATAATCTGGAAATTGCGCAGCAGCTTCTGCAACAAGGTGCAGATGTTGGGGCTTTAAGCAAAAGCGGATTTTCTCCCTTACATTTGGCTGCCCAAGAAGGACACGTTGAAATGGTTCAACTACTTCTAGACTATGGCGCTACAAATACAGCTGCTAAAAACGGACTGACACCATTACATTTGGCTGCGCAGGAGGGCCATGTTATTGTTTCTCGGATTTTGCTGGAACACGGCGCTAAAATATCAGAACGCACTAAAAATGGTTATTCTCCCCTTCATATTGCTGCCCATAATGGTCACCTTGATCTTGTAAAATTTTTGCTTGAAAACGATGCTGACATTGAAATGTCTACTAATATTGGCTATACACCACTTCATCAAGCTGCTCAGCAAGGCCACATTATGATTATCAATCTCCTACTACGACACAAAGCGAATCCAAATGCTTTAACAAATGTGAGTTTTTATTAAATGGAAAAGTCTTAGCGTCTTGAATTTACTCTCTTAGCATTGGTCTTTTTGACTGACCACATATTACGTAATAGACATCTGCATGACTGGAATTAAACAGGCTTTGAAATGATTACTTTCGAATAGAATAGAGTTGATTAAGTGCTCAGCACACTATGACTGATTGAATCTTGATCCGTATGGAGTATAACTGCAAAGGCCTAGAGTTAAACGAGTGATAACGAAAAACAGAATGTCATATAGGCTGAAATCATTCGAGTTTTTCGAATCCTTTCGATTTCATATATGACGTCACAATGGCAAAATAGAACATTAATTTTGTTTTAATATACATATACATACACAAAAGGTACAATTATACAAGGTAGTCCCGTCACCAAAATGCAGTCCGTTAACAATGCTCACAACAAGTGCGAGAGAGAGGAGTCTGCGTAGTAAGTGCGAGAGAAACGACAATAGAACTTGTTGTTTAACCCTTAGATGATACATGGGGCTTAAATTGTTCATTTATAGAAAAAAAGTTGAAGTTTTTTATAATTTAATTTTTAATAGTTTCGAATTTGAAAGTAAACGTTGTTTTTGTTTTTGGATAGCTATTCTTTTGTTTAGGTTCCTAATTTTAAAATATATGGGAAACTTCGAGTAACATTTTTTATATCTAAATTAATTTTATTCATGAACCCTTTCCTCCCACAATGTCTTCTTCGTTATACATTTTGGTGCATTCATTAATTTTACGCCATAAGTGCAGACAGAAAGTGCAGAACGTCATTTTTGCTTTGCACAAGGGTTAATAGTGTGAAAACAATCGTTCCCACCTAATCTTTCCCTTCAACAAGCGAGAACGCACTGACAAAAAGCCGAATTATTAGGGAGCCCGACGGGACTACCTTGTATAATTGTACCAAGCATATATATATGTCTATTTTATTTTGTTATACATAAATAAGTATTTTTGCCTTTTTTTACTTACGAAATTACCAAGTTCACGGTAGTTATACCCGTTACTCGTACAGTAAAAGGGTATATTGTATTTGTGCAAAAGAAGTGTAACCAATCGGACTATTCGTTAAAAGTTACGGCGGATCAAAGTTTTTATCTCCATCTCCTTCGCACTCCCTTTAGCTGAGTAACGGGTATCTGATAGTCGGGGCACCCGACTATAGCGTTCTCTTTTGTTTTAACTCGAAACACATGCAATTAAACGAAAAAATATGCAACAAAAATGCTGGTTTCTCAGAACATCAAAATCCTCTACTATCGCCACATATTGTTATCATGCCAAATTCATATTTTAATTCTTAAAATTCGCGGCCCATGGAAGAAAAACACAAAATAGTGCAGCAAAGAGGCAGAAAGAAATGGTCTTGGACCGCGACTTCTTCTTTTTCTTTGTTATATTATTCTTCTTATTCTTAAGAAGTTGCGGTCCAAGGAAGACCATTCCTTTCTGCCTCTTCACTGAACTATTTTGTGCTTCTCCTCTATGGGCCGCGAATTCTTAGGTTTTCAATATGAAAATGTCATGGTCATATCTGTGGCGAGCTAAAACTAAAGTTAGCTTTGTAATTAAAAAAAAAAACAAAAAAGCCAAATAATATTCTTGGAGTACTCTACAATTCATTTAGAATTCTGTTAGTGCTAGGAGCCCTAGATCACGAAAATATCACTAATTTTTTTTTTTCATTTTTTCCATACAAACTGGTTGGATGGATTTAATTCAAACCTTTTGTATATTATTAAATGTCATTTAATTATCATCCACTAATTTTTATAGCCGATACTATCGGCTAATATATCGGTGGCAAAGCGATTGCTGGAATACTATTAAAAAGAATACTATTACTCTAAAAATAATCGGATTTCCATTTCGTTTTTACATTTCGCATAAGAACTTACAAAACCCGCTCCTGGAAAGCCCTTTTTTTAATTTTTTATTTTTGAGAATTTTTTGTGATTCTCCAAAATCAAAAATGCGTTTTTCACCTAAAAAATATGACTTTCGGCTTAAAAAAATATTTAAAGTTAAAAAATAAAAAAAAAACGCTTCCCAGGGGGCGGGTTTTTGTTATGCAGAAAAATATGCGACAAATTTGAAAACGATCGGTTGAGCCATTTAGAAATGCCACGGACTTTCGAAACGTTGTTTAGAGAAAAACACACTTAAAGATGCGTACGTAAACGTACATAAAGTCTTAGAGGTTAGCGTACTAATTTTGGCATAACTTCAAAAGTTTTAACGTTGTAGCTATTTAGAAGTAAATTTTCAAAGCGTTAATCATCCAGTTAAAGTTATTTGAATTATAAAGTTTAAAGTTAAAGTTTAAATTAAAAGTGACCATGCCATCTTATTCAAACAAACCCCAGTAAATGTCATATATGCCGAAGAATGACCTGCAATAAGCCCATCAGTAAATTAATATTTTCTTTCAGAACGGTAATACTGCTCTACACATTGCAAGTAATTTGGGATATATAACGGTTATGGAAACCCTTAAAATTGTCACTTCCACATCCATTGCTAGTACCAATACTGGTGTGATTGAAGAGAAGTGCAAGGTAATGTCTCCAGAGGTTATGCATGAAACCTTACTCTCCGATTCCGAAGACGAAACTGGTGATGATTTGTTAGACCATAATCACTACAAATACATGGCAACTGAGGATTTAAAAGGCAACTACAGTCAGGATCACCAAAACTTCGATACTACAAATCCTGAGCATGATCATTCTGATGTGCCGGCTCCGCTAATTTTTGACAAAGGTAACTTATATAAACACACCATTCCATTTTTACATAACAATAGAGGTCTAGGAACGACTTTTCGCTGTACTCGGGGGACAGTAGTCTGTTTAGACAGTAACGCATTATTGGCAGCTCAGAAAAAATAATGATCGGAATATGATTTTTTAGGGAGCATATAATTACTATGGATGAAGCAAAAGAAAAGTTTGTAGACCGTTTTTTGAATGTCCCAAGGTCCTTTGTACCTATATTTCATTGAAAAACTATTTATACCTGTTACTCGTAGAGTAAAAGGGTATATTGTATTCGTGCAAACGTATGTACCAGGTAGAAGGAAGCGTTTCCGACCCTACAATGTATATGTATTCTTGATCAGGGTCAATAGCCGAGACGAGTCGATCTAGCCATGTCCGTCTGTCCGTCCTCAGCTTGCTTCCAATCGCATAGAAATACCGGTTCCAACAAAATTTTCGGGTATTGGACCATTAAATCAAACCCTTTTATTTTGATCTAAAAAATCGTAAGCGAATGACGATGCGACTGAAGTGACGGTAGCTGTTATATGAGTACACAAAGGCACGGCCATCAAGTACAATTGCACCCAAAAAAAAATCGATATGAATCGTAGGTCAATTTGACCTTTTTTAAGATAATTTTTAACTTGATATGGGGCCAGGTAAATGTGATATGGTCGAAAATGTAAGAACGAAAATGTTCATTATTCCTGACCAAAACTTATTCTAGTGCGAGCAAGAAAACATGCTTGAAGTACGTAAGTTCGAATTTCGAATACGTCTTTCTCGCTTCCACTCATGTCATTTTGCTCGCCATATTGATTCTTGCGCTCTTTTTCGAAGTTAGAGAACCTCCGAGAGAGAGAATTCGGCAAAATGATTATTTAATGTAATTTTTATGAATATTTCAGGTAAAAACGATATGAGTAGGAATAACCAGAAAATTACCTGGATTTTACGGCGACGTGCTTTTTTTATGTGTGGCAAAGCCATTATCTTCTGAAGAATTCGCGTTTTTTTTAGCTTTTTAATTTATCCAATATTGGGTACATTCACGAGTACAATTTGCAAAGACGTAAACGCTTTTAATAATTCATTTATACGAGTATAATTGGAAGAGACATCCTCTTCTGAAGAATTCGCGGGTTTTCTAGAGACCTACTCATATTTATGCTCTGAAACTACATCTTGTTTATGAAACTTTTTGAAGTATTTCTTAAAACAAAAACTTTTTTTTTGATTTTACTTACTGTTACTTACCCTTAATGTTTGGCTTGGTTTTTGGCTCAAAAAAAAAACACTTTCATCTGCCTGCCCGTGTCAACGCTGAAAGCTCAGAAACTATAATGGCTAGAGAGTTGGTGTCTTGGATTTATGTTCCTTAGCTTCCCATTCAGCGCAATTTTATCATGCCAATGTGCCAAGCCCACTCTAAGCTTTGGCGACCACAATTTTGAAGCTAGATTAATAGTTTTAACTGAAATTTATTTGTTTCTTTAATACCTATCGATTGATCAAAAAACCACGAAAAACTGGCGCCCACAGTTTTGAAGGTAGATTGTTAATTGAAACTTAAATGTATTTATTTCTTCAATACCTATCGTTTGACCTAAAAAGTTTTCGACCCCACTCTAGCGCCCATATTGCATACGAAGTGGTACCACTACCTTTCTCGTTAATTCTTGTTTTAAAGTTGGTTACCTGAGTAACGGGTATCTGAAAGTCGAGGCACTTGACTATAGCGTTCTCCCTTGTTCTAAGAACCATAGTGTGAAAAGTAACGTAACGCTGTAGAAAAATATTTAAGATTCACCACACGAGAATTTCTTATTTAAGAGTGACTAACAAGGTAGAGCAAAAAGTTATGTTTTAATCCGGATAAATTAATTTCCATTCTTAGAAATGCTACACACCTGTATGAAAACATCTGAAATGGAACAAAAACCCGATAATGTCCCCATAGTCCGACCCCAGATTCATTTAGGGTAAGCATTTCTATGTTAGCTTATTATAATAAATACGCTTTAATTGACATACAACTTTTTAGGTTTCTCGTATCGTTTTTGGTGGACGCACGTGGTGGATCTATGCGCGGATATCGGCACAGTGGTGTGCGAATTATCGTCCCTCCAAAGGCCTGCGCTGAACCCACACGTTTAACTTGTCGTTATGTAAAGCCGCAAAGGGTAGTCAACCCTCCTCCTTTAATGGAAGGCGAAGCACTTGTTAGTCGTATCTTGGAAATGTCACCTGTCGACGGAGTGTTTTTAAGGTAAGCGTTGACTATACAATTTTCGCATCCAATAATTAATTAATTTGTATTTAAGGCCAATAACTATAGAGGTCCCTCACTTTGGAACTCTTAGGGAAAACGAACGTGAAATTATTATACTGCGTTCCGACAACGGAGAAAGTTGGCGGGAGCATAACCTATATGAAAGTGAGGAACTTATAAACGATGCTCATAAGGACACACAATTTGGTGATTTTTATAAAATAGAAGAATTACATACGGATCGTATCGTTCGAATCGTTACGCAAAATGTTCCGCATTTTTTTGCCGTTGTTTCGCGTGTTCGTCAGGAGGTGCACGCTATCGGACCTGATGGTGGAACCGTTTTCTCTACGGCAGTACCGCAGGTTCAAGCTATTTTTCCACCTCATGCATTGACCAAGAAAATTCGAGTCGGTCTTCAGGCACAGCCAGTAGACCTGGTTGGATGTTCCAAGCTGCTTGGTCAGGGCGTTGCTGTCTCACCAATAGTCACTGTGGAACCACGACGCCGAAAATTTCATAAGGCAATTACACTTAGTATTCCTGCTCCAAAAGCTTGTACCAAGAGTATGGTTAATGCATGCTATGGCAACGGAAATTCGAATTCACCTACTCTTAGACTATTGTGCTCCATTACCGGTGGTCAAACACGTGCAACATGGGAGGATGTTACTGGATCAACTCCGCTGACTTTTGTTAAGGATAGTATAACATTTACAACTACAGTTTCCGCCCGTTTTTGGCTGATGGATTGTCGCAATATTGTAGACGCCGGGCGAATGGCCACAGAACTTTACAGTCACTTGGCTAAAGTTCCTTTTCTTGTTAAGTTTGTAGTCTTTGCCAAACGCCTCTCCCAAACGGAAGCCAAATTCTCAGTGTTTTGCATGACTGATGATAAAGAGGACAAGACGCTTGAACAACAAGAATACTTTACAGAGGTTGCAAAAAGTAGGGATATTGAAGTATTGCAGGATCAAACTATATATCTAGAATTTGCTGGTAATGTGGTCCCTGTTTTAAAAGCAGGCGAGCAGCTTAATACCAAGTTCCAAGCATTTTGCGAAAATCGGCTTTCATTTATTGCCCATATTAAAGATCCGGAATTTCCTCAAGGTCGCATTTGTTTTATGAATAATCCAAAAGTGGCACATGATGATGTGCCACAGAATCCGCTTTGTAGTCTAAATGTTTCGGTAGATATGAATACTATGAAAATACACCAGGAGAACGATAAGTTGTATAGTTCAAAACACGGTATTAATATTCATGGTAAAACAAACCATAATTACAGTAATTCAAAAATAAATGCGGATCCAGCGACTGCAGAACAAAATATAAAAGAATCTATTACCGAAGTTTATATGAAGTCCAGAAACATTGAAAGAACTCAAAGGCCTGATATGACATTAATCGATATATGTAGCCATATAGGTAGTGACTGGCCTCAGCTAGCCAAAGAATTGGGTGTTCCCGAGACCGACATCGAGCTTGTCAAAGCAGAGTACATTAGTGACGACTGCGAGCAGCAGAGCATGGTAATGCTGCAACTCTGGCTAGAGCATGGAGGCGTTTCAACAGGAAATGTATTAGCTGAAGCCCTTGACAATATTGGACGTGCGGACATAGTGGAAAAGTGTATTCAAAATGTTGATTTTGATACTGATAAATTTGAACAAGATCTAGGCACTATCAGCATTGAAAACCCAGCGGATTGTAAAGATCCATCGACGACAATTTTAGAACCTGACACAGATATATTTCAAAAGGAGGATGGTAAAATTAAAGACTAAATGTTGCAAAACACATAATTTTTTTCAATACGTACAGCACATCTGGCATCACCAAAAGAAATTGAACTTAACGCAAAACTGAATTAGGAAATATTACTACAGTCCTAAATAAACAGGAACAACGTCTAAAGCCAGGTAACTAGGATTTTCTTAATAGTAATCGTGTTAAAATAAATTAATTTTTATTTGCAGAAGAAGATATTTCAACCAAGTTTTATTATTTATGTCAAAAATCATCGGTAGAGTTAATTTTTCTCAATCTTATTTTATTAACCCTTCTAACCATTTATTTGTGACTGTAACGATCTATATCCTGTCTAAGAGTTATGCAATATATAATGAATAAATGTTAACAGCTCTAATATTTTGTTTACTGTTCAAAATAAAAATACAAATCTAATAAATTGTTTATCCATTTATAATATATAAATTGAAACTTTGTTTTTGAATATAACAAAATGAAACACAAAACACAAATTTAAAAAATTTTCTTTAGTTTTTAAGATGATTTTTGTTACATCAACGGCCGGAGAGTGCAGACGTGTTTTGCGCGAGCTCCGGAGAAAAGCAGCTTTAAAGTGAAAAACAAATAACTAAAAATATAGGGGAGTAGTGTAATAAAGGCAATCTTATTGCTTAAAACACACTATAAAGAGATTCATAATAATATGTGCTATGTATAAAACTAGTGCAAAGTTATTATATAAACTAAGAAGTGCCACGAGTAATAGCTCAATGAGCGGCGATTCAAAAAATGAGCGTAGAAGCTCCGTAGACCAGAGAAACAGTTATATCTCCTAAGCCAGCGATGCAACATATCTCGGCGTCCACCTCGACAGACGCATAAGCTGTCGGAGGCGCATTGAATGCAAGAAAGTACACCTCAGACTTAAAACTAGCAGCCTCCACTGGATTATAAGCTCTCGATCACCCCTGTGTCTGGACTTTAAAGTTATTCTCTGAGTCAAAATCGGCCAAGTGGGCCACCCCTGTTCTGAAGGTCCGATTTTCATCGAACTTTTTTACTTTTCCGGTTCACAACGACAATATAAGAACTTCATTTTAACGGTTTTTTGAAATTTGGAGTTTTACCGAAGTTATAGGGATCAAAATAAGTGTTGGGACTTACCTAGATACTTTTACCTAGGTACAATTTAGTGGTACCTTTTACCTTACCTATGTATAAAAATAATTGGGTACCTTTTACCTTACCTAGCTACAAATTTTTATATACCTTTGGAATTATTAAGGTACTTACATACAGCTGTGAAAAAAATAATAGCACCACTAACCCAAAAAAATTTTAACTAGTCACCCTACTCACATTTTTTAACTTTTTTAACTTTCCAAAACGGGTTTTAAATAGTAAGACTAAACATAATTTGAATATGAAAAAAATGTTAGCTTTATAAAATGTTTCTGGACTTATTTAAGAAAATCTATGCAAAACTGGAAAAACGTACGAAAAAAATAATAGCACCACTTCTCTAAAAATAGAATAAAAGTTAGAAAAATGACAAATGGGTAACTTAAACTTTAGTTGGCGGTAGCTAACAAGTAAATCTAAGTTTAAAGTGTAAATATCTTTTGCTATTTTTGGATATAATGACTTACTATCGATTAAACAAGCCAGGACCCTACCTTTAAAGGAATTGGGGCCCAAAACTCATGATATATTTTGAAAGTTATTCGGAAATGATTTAAGACGTTTTAGATTAACTGTATAAAGTGTCTTAAAAAAAAAACTCGAAGATTTTTTGTTGTGTTATGGTCAAGCGAGTACACAAGTCAATGTATATTGCTTACTGAGTACTTTCGAACTCTTTCTTTGCTATCCTGACCGTGATCCTGGCCGGATTTTATTGCTCAAAGATTCATTTAAGAAGTATTTTGTATTCAGTTTAAGCTACCAATTACTACCGTATTACTATTTACATCATATGATGATTCATGAACGATGTATTCATCCGTATAGATCTTACTTTAAGAAGGAAAAACAAGCCTATGTTAATACTAGGTCCATGCTCAGTAAATGGATGTTTTGGTACCATGATCTTGGTCAATTTAGGTGTTTAGAAGACACATGACTTATAAAAAGGATTTCTTCTTACCCAATTTAACTTTGCCTTCACACATTCTCATAAGTTTGCGGGCATTCATTTGTAAGTTTTTTTGACGGGCCCTATGCCCTTGTAAATGTGTTTCGCATTTCGGCTAGGATTTTTTTTTAAGTGCATGTTTTATAAATTTGTTTATTGAAACATTATCTAACTATTAAAATATTCCATTTTATTTTAAGCACGTGTTTTAGTTTAGCTTTGGCCCTGATAAGATTCTTTGTGCTTTGTGATATAACATTTTGGAAGGAAAAATGGGCCAGGACTCGGTTTTTCTGTGTTATTCTTCAAAGTTTATGCCATTCTTAATGAAGGTGATCCAAAACCTAACCAATCCAACCGGTTTTCATGACCGTTTTCCATCCAATATGTTTCTTTTTTGAATATTTTTCTTTTCCGACTTGGAAAATTTTCCACATGTCCTTGTATTGCCAAATGGTAATCAATTTGATGTCTGGATATCAGGGGAAGTTAGTTTTAGTCAAATCTCATAAAATATATCCTTTATACACAAGAATATTAGCGCATCGTAACGTTTTATTTAAAGAAAACGGAAGTGGTGCTATTATTTTTTTCGGCCTTTTTTTGACTTTTTTTCTTAAAATCTGAAAAAATTATATGTAGACAATATTTTCGATATCCGTATCAATTTTTTCAAATAGGTGGAATACTAATCAAGATAATAAACAAGAAAGGAAGCTAGCTTCGGCCAGCCGAAGCTTATATACCCTTGCAGATCATTCCTATTAATTAACAAATCGCAAAAATGTTAATTTTCTAATATTTCTCATTAATTTTCCGATCGTTCCTATGGCAGCTATATGATATAGTCGTCCGATTTTGATCAAATTAAAATTGAAATTCGGAAATATTTAAAAAGAGTCATATCCTAGAGTAGAAGATAATACAATAAAAATCAAAGAAGCTAGAATTTATTTCCTATTACTTTTCCATTAATTTTCCGATCGTTCCTATGGCAGCTATATGATATAGTAGTCCGATTTTTTAAATAATTAATTCGAAATTCAGAAATATTTAAAAAATAACATCCCCAAAAGTAGAAGGTAATATTTCAAAAAACACCGAAGCTAGAATTTTTTAAAGTTTTTTTCTTCCGATCCTTCCTATGGGAGCTATAAGATATAGTTGTCCGATCCGGTCGGCTCCGACATATATACTACCTGCAATAGAAAGAAGACTTTTGCGAAAGTTTCGTCCCGATAGCTCAAAAACTGAGAGACTAGTTTGCGTAGAAACAGACAGACGGACAGACGGACAGACGGACAGACGGACAGACAGACAGACGGACAGACGGACATGGCTAGATCGACTCGTCTTGTGATGCTGATCAAGAATATATATACTTTATGGGGTCGGAAACGTCTCCTTCACTGCGTTGCAAACTTCTGACTGAAATCATAATACCCTCTGCAAGGGTATAAAAACACTTCTTATATAAAAATCCCCGTTTTCCACATATTTCTTTAATATTAAGAACCTGTGACGAAGTGGCATTACCTTTGCATTGCAATTTTCTCAAATGCACAAAACAATTTGACTTTGCGCGACAGACATGGCCGAAAAAGAAAATTTAAACGAGAAAGTGTTGCCAACAATATTAAATGGCAAATTTTTTAACCCGGACGGCAAGTGCGTGTTGTGTGTTAATAAAACAATATAATTCGATGATAAATCGACAGGAAATCTGCACACACAGCCTAAGCCTATTTTTATGTGTGAAATATGTACATTGTACATATACACATTACTTACATATGTATGTACATATTTGAGAATGAAAACTAATCGCGGTTTTATTTTATATAATTTTGTGCACGAATGTATGTTCCCATCACTACACCAATTTATTTATGAAACCAAAGTGTATTTGGCGCGCAAAAATGCCGTATGTACGTAAACAAACGGCATATACATATGCACAATATACATATAGTCAATGTTTCTACATACGGAATTTTTGCGCGCCAAATATGTACATGAGGGTTTCATAAATATATTAATGAAGTGATACGTGCATACAATTATTCATGCCGCGTGTTTTTAAAATATATACACAAAATTATTTAAGCTTATATTTATAAATAATTGGATTTAATTTCAACAACTTTAGAGGATTCATCCAAGCAGTTACACGGACTACGAGGCCATGAAAGCTAAGAAAGCTAAGACAAATATGGAACTTTGTAAGGAAAATTAAAAATCGTTTTTTCGGTTCCTTGAGCTCAGCTTTTATAAAAAATAAAAAAACAATATATTTACCTTTTACCTTTACCTAGGTACTGGGAAATTGAAGTACCTTTACCTTACCTAGGTATTTATTTTTGCCCAATACCTTTTACCTTACCTAGGTACAAAAACACAGTACCTTTCCCAACACTGGTCAAAATATGGCATTTTTTACACTTTTTCGAAAAAGTTGCACTCAGTCTAGGGATGTCGAAAATATATCAAAATATCAATATATCGATATTTTTTACGAAAAAATAAATATTTTTTCGTGATATTTTTTTTGAATAATTATCATATATCATCGATTTTTTTTACATTTTTTTGATAATTTTAAGTGGTCTTACTTTTCATCGGGACAAGAAAAAATACATATGTGAAAGATGAGCGCCGCTAAAATTTATTTTTCGGCAAGTGAAAATGCATAGCATAGCATTCAGAATTCAAGAAAACGCGGTAAAAAAAATGCGCGGGAAATACTTGATTTTAATATTATAAATAAAAGCAAAAGAAAGCAAAAATAAATATTGTTTTCTTTTATTTATTAATAAATATAAACTAAAAATTATAAAAATATAATTTAAGATCGTATGTGGGTTAATGTTTAGTGGTTATTGCTTATGCAGCTTAAAATTAAAAAAAAATATTAAAACAAAAATATCAAAAATATCTGATATGAAGATATTTTTTTTTCTGATATATCAAATATCATTTTGATTTTTTTTAAATAAAGAATATCATCGATACGATATTTTTAAATATTTCGACATCCCTAACTCAGTCATTAATTCATAACCTCGGAGCGGTAAGAGAAATCTTTATGATGTTTTCACTAATCGCAATATCGATTTGAAGAAGGGCGCACAGCGGTTTCCCATATAAAACAACAAAAAGTGCCTCATTGACAGCTGCAGTCGGCTGACCCTTTTTTTTTTTTTTTGATCTTTTTCGTAATGAATCAAACTTCTTTTTTAAATGGTTTTAAACTCTATAGCTGGTAAAAAACACTGAAAAAAATAAAAACTAAAAAAATTTTTAATTTATTTTTAAGAAAAATAAATTTTAT